GCTCAGGCCGGAGGTGAAACAATGCACAAGACAACTTGCAGAACGGAGAAGACATAACATCAATACCGAACGCAAGCTGAAGCGGCTCTGTCAGCGCCACACGATAGGAGGCGACAGTATTCGGCATAAGATGATGGTCCTGAAACAACAACAACAGGAAGGACAAAACAACCCTATCAGAGACCGAAGTACATCTACGCAGTGATAGGAAAAACCCGAAGGACCGCCAGGAAACCTCATACTGCCACCGAGCTGTAAGCAAGCAGATGGGAGACCAACAACAAAGTCACCTGCGCCCCATACAAATGGTAATAGATTAGAGTCAAAAAGACCAGACGCGAAGACTCGAGGAGAAGATGGAACTAGCCTCGTAATGGGCAGGACTGATCTTCTGAAAGAAGTGGAGCCGTGCGAAGACCCTCAGGTTCGGACGCTGAGCAAGCAGGTTCCGAAACCAAGGCTGGGCCGACCACCAAGTGGCCAAGACGACGACTATTCCTTGGTAAGTCTCCAAGCGAGCCAGGACTTGGAGGAACAGCTGAACCGAGGGACAGAGATACAGGTAACCCCACCTCGGCCAGTCCTGCCTGAAGGCATCGATCTCGATGGCCTCGCAGTCGGGGAATGGCTCCACGCATACCGGGAGATGCCTTGACCACACCGATGCCAAAAGATCCACTTCCGAAAGCCCGAACGTCCGGCAGAGCCAACAAAACGAGTCGGCATCGACCGTCCATTCCGTGGACAGTGGAATGAACCAGGACAGGCTGTCCGCCAAGACACTGGAACCCCCCCCCCCCAAATGTGAAACGCACAGGAGAACCAAACCCGAAGAATTTGGTAAACGAGTCACCTGAAGTGATCAGCCCCAAAGGGCCAAGGACCACATCGAACCCCCGCGGTTCAGGCAAGGTACCACCAGGGAACAGTCCGAATGGAGCCGGACTGTTGATCCGCAAGAGACTCAAATCCTCTGGAGCGACATCCACACATCCGCGAACTCCCGCACCATGCTGTGAGCCCGACGGAGGGACAGAACCAACCTCCCCTGGCCGGCCTGGAGAGCACTGGTCATAAAGCCCCAGCCAAAAGACGAAAGCGTTCGTGAACACATCGAGCAAGGGTTCAGGGTAGACGGCAAGGCACTAAACCCTGAAAAACCCGAAGAGGAAACTGGAGGCCAAACCCAGCAGTCACGAGAGAGGCGGAAGGGATGTCCCCGAAGGAACCAGAACAGCCGATGAAGCCACACCCAACCCGGCAGGTAGGCCACCATGGCAGAGTTCAGGCTTCAGCACAAACCCTCGAGCAACCTCCGCGTTACCCGGGAGCCCCTCAGAAACAGACGGAGGCGGGAACCCAGATGAAGCAGAGCCACCAGAGGAAGAGACAAGGAAGCGGTCCGAGCGTCCCACACAAGACCCAGCCAAAACCGAACCTGAGAGGGAACCAGATGGGACTTCTGTCAGTTCACCAAAACCCCGAACCCGGCGAGCTGGGAAAAAAATAAATCCCTGGCGAGCAGACACGTGGACAGGCTGGGAGCCCAAACCCGCCAGTCGTCGAGGTAGGCCAGAACCCAAATACCTAACACACACAGGCGGGCCACCAGGACCCGATAAGGTGAGTGAAAACGCGAGGCGTCAGAATCAAGCCGAATGGAGGGCAACGAAAGCAATAACCTCGACATCCCACCACAAAATGAGCCAGTCCATGAACTGCGGATGCATCGGGACGTGGCAATACGCATCCTGGAGGTCCAGGGACACCAACCAAGCACCCGGCTCCAACAGAAGACGGACCTGGGATAGAGTAGTCATCCGAAAGGAGGGGCAATAAACCCATGGGTTCAGACGTGACAAATCCAGAATGAACTGGAGGTCTGCACAGTACCGTTTCGAGACCAGAAACAGGCGCGAGATCCACCTGAGGGACAAGGACGTTTCGACCACACCCAAGCGAACCCACTCCGAGACGACTTGACAGAGCTGAGAAGGAGCCTGCCCTGCCAGCGCCCTGTCGGAGGAGGAGGAGCCACCCAATGCCACCAGAGGCCGCACAAAATGACCTGAAAGCAAAATCAGGGTTGCGCAGGAGGTAAGCTGCAAGGGCTTCCCGCATCCATTGTGACGGGACTCGGTAAGCTGGAAACCTCCAGAAAGACGGAACCGAAGAACCGTCAGGGCATGTAACCAAACCCAGGGAGGGGTAGATGCCAAATCCAACTTGTACAAGGAGGGAGCAAAAGAGAACCCCACACCCTGTAACACCAAGCCCCGCTCTGAGGGTTCAAAAACCCAAGCAGGGTCCAAAGTCAACTCCTCCCCCCGTCCCAGGAACCTCACTCAAAGGATCCAGGGCCGAGCCTGTTACCTACCCCCCAACCCCCCACCTCTAAAGAAAAGGCGGAGCAGCAGGAACGAAGGGGGCCCACTGGTCAGACCCAGAAGCTCCAGCAGGACCAGGATCGAATGCCTCCGCCGCCACCCCGGAAGGGAACTTCCGAGACTGCCCGAGTCTCGACACCAACTAAACCCTGTCCTGACTCCGAAACCCTCAGACACTTCGGAGCCAGAAGCAACGGGGGAGGAACTAAATGGACAACAGAAGGCGAAGGGCAAGGGGGGGTAAAATGGAACCAGAGTCGAAGCTACTCCCACCCCCCAAATCTGGGTCCCTAAAACCAAAACGGGGCAGTCTCGGGGCAACCAGGGAAGCAACTAACTTAGTGCGTTGCAGCAATCTAAACCTAGTATGCAATGCAACTGCTGCCTGCACCCTCATATCATGATCAGTAGCTTGGGTGGACTGGAGCACGTACAGGCAACAAACGTCGCATGACTCCGGGTTAAAAGAATCACCAACCCAACAGGCAGCATGGCAGTATGAGCAACCTTCCTACTCACACAAAGCGAGAGGGGACTCAAGGGTCGCATCCATCAGACCAGGGAGCCGCAGCGGGGTTTCCTAGAGCCCTTAGCCTTATTAACACACTAAGGGAAGCCCAGGCAGGGTACTGCAAACCGGCGCCCAAGACTACCAAACAATCTGCTAATAGCTGAACCCCTGGGATGTGTCCACTCACAGGGGCCTAGCAAGGGGTACCACCAACCACACAAAAACTGAAAATAGATATAATGATAGATATATACACCCACAACACAGAAGGGAGAACCACCAAGGCCGACCCCCCTCACCAAGCTGAAAAGCAAAACCCCATAAGAGGACAATGTACCCAGGTGGAACAGAGCTGGCCACTGTAAGAGGTGAAAACTAGCTGTGCAGTACCCCGCGCCCCTACCAGTGACGAAAACTACCTCCTACCCAGAGGCAAACACGGGCAACAAACACCCAGTTGACTCCAAGGGTGGCCAAGTAAAAGACACAGCTGGGGTAGATCCTGAGGTGACTTGTGGAAGGTGGCCCCAAACCCCAAGGGTAGTACTTACAGGGCACCTAGGGAAGGTGGCCCTAGGCGCATGCAGTCCGAGTACCGAAGAATATTACTTCTGGCTCGCACACCACCAGTAGAGACAGTCCACGCCACAAGGCACAGAATCTGAGACAAATCACTGGAGCCAGAGGCACAAGACCACGCCAGTACCACATCAACCCGAGAACTGAAGGGTAGATCGCCAGTGTGTGGGTCTGGGGCTCCCCCTTTTCCCTCCCGAGGAGGTGGGGGGTTGCGCAGACAGCGGTGCGGCAACATCATGACGTCATGTTTGATTGCTAATTTTTGTTTGGGGAGTTCTGTCTACTCTTTCGGCTTTCGGTAGCAATAGTTTCACCAGAATAGGGGTTTGTTTTGGGGCGCCTACCTTTCTGGGTGCCAGATCCAGTCAATGGCAGACATAGACTGCTTCCAACCACATGGGGGTTTCTATAGGCCATTGCTACTCATGCCTCTCTTAAGGGGGTCAGGCTCTGGCTCATGATCCCTAGTAGGCAAGAACTCTGTGCACATTGACTGATGCCAGAAAGTTATACATATCCATTTAGCCTGGATAGCTCCGGGGAGTCGATGGGGCTCCCTCAAGAGAAGTACAGTATTAAAAGTAACCCTCTTTATTGCAGTACAGTAAGTTGTTTTCTCTGACGGGTAAAAATATATTCAAAGAATACTAATCTCAAGAACAAGAGATAAAGCAATAGGTTATGGTCCTGGAACCACTACACTCTCATAAGCAGTTCTCAACTGTGGATAAATTTACATTTAGGAAAGACCTGGGTAAATACTGGTTAAGTAACAGGTTGGTGATTTGTGGAACTAATTACCACGTAACGTAATAGAAGTAGGATCCCTCGATTGTTTCAAGCATAGGTTAGACATATATATGAATGAGATTGGGTGGTTATAAATAGAAGCTGCCTTGTATGGGCCAATAGGCCACCTGCAGTTGCCTTTATTCTTATGTTCTTATGTTCTGAGTTCAACTTTCATCAAATGTTTCAATTTATATTTTAAAACCAAGCAAATTAACCCATATTGTTGCAGAATTAACAGAATATGAAAAAGCTTTCCCATTTTCACATAATAGTGAGAGTGCTATTGTGTGTCGAGTCTGACAACTTTCACTTCCTGTGCAAGTCCAGCCCCTCCAATAATGATAGTACTTACAGCAGTTCTTTGGTCAAACATCAAAAAGGGTCTGTTGGACCCCCCAAAAGCGTTCATGTTTTGTATTGTTGAATAAGCCCAAATGACATACTAAAATGTGGAACAGAAACTAAAGAACCTGACCTAACCTATCCAGACAATGAGAAGCCTAATACGGTATAGTATACATGTGCCATACTAGGCCTAGGAGTAAGTTTTATATGCCATCTAGAAAGTTAGTAGTAAAAAGCATGAACATTCTTGGATGCAACAGTCCATTTTTGTACATTTGAACAAATAGTTGCTGTAAATACTATCATTTTATGAGGATGGGTTGGTGAAATTCATATCAGAATTTTTCATCTTAATTGTTTACCTAAGAAAACTCTTATTGTTTTACCTGGCAGATGAACTCCCACAGAAGATCTTGATTTCTGCACCGGCGTTTGTTTTATAGGGGTACTGCACAAAAAATCTTTTTTATCATACATAGCTGATGAAGAAACTGCAGGATGATCCACCTTCTCCACACGAACAACAACACCCCCGCCACAGTTGGGGCATTTTAGCGTGCTGGAACCTAAAAAACAAAAACAAAAAAAAGCGTTGAATGTAATGAAACGCTTTTTCTGGGCGAGACCGGGAGGCTCCCTGGAGCTATATCGGGCTGATGTGTATTCAGTGGCGCCTCGATTAACGAGTTTAATCCGTTCCGGCACCGAGCTCGTCATGTGGAAAATTTGTCTTGCAAAAAACAAAACTGTCGTCGGAGGTGTCCGAGAACCAGCGGGAATGCTCGTTAGTCGAGACATTTTCTGCAAGTGGCTTGCTCGTAACTGGAGCTGCTCGTCACTCGAGGTTCAATTGAATATTAGACCGTGGCAACAGTCAATCGAAGGAATTCTAGGCCTTCTGGGGACCAGAGCCAGAACCTGGCCTCCCTCAAGAGGGGTACAAGGAGCAATGGCCTTAACCCTTAAACTGCGCATGGCGTATATATACACCATGAGTAACATGCGCCACGGTGCACATGGCATATATACACGCCATAGGGTGCCAGGCACGATTCAAATGGCCCGTGGCTACACGGGGTTCACATTAGCTTCACATCAGGGCTCTTGTAAACAGACGCCATTTTTTTTTTAAATTGTGGGCAATATTCTCCAGTGAGAGCGCCACAGTGTTGGAGCAACCAAGGCTGGCGCACGCAGCATGAGCGAACAGCATTGCTGTTTAGCTTGTGACCACAGCATCGCCGAAAAATGTCAAAATATATAATTGCTATTATTTAGCGATGACAGTATTACAGATGACCCCTGACTGTGATAAAAATGACCAGGATTGTGATAATAGCAGGATTGTTGTGGTGATTAGCGCTGTGGGAGGAGTGATGCTGAGGGATGGAGGGAGATAGCATCATTTACTGACTCTGTGGCAACCTGTTACTGTCTGCATTCACCGTACCAGCTCAGTGGTTCTCTATGGTTAACATAAATGTAGATACTTATATATAATGTGTGTATTAGTGTAATAACAGCAAAAGGATTATGCTGGGAGGAGCCATGTGGGTGACGGAGGTGATGTCGTCTGCATGACTTGTCTAGCTGTGTAGAGGATGGTCACTATGCTCTTTGGGCACCCTACATGCTTAGGTGTACAGTTACAGTGCATACAGCCTGTAGATACTTATATATAATGTGTGTATATAGTGTAATACCACTGCAAACAGTATTGTTGGGGGAGAAATTTAGTACATGTGACCTTGAATGTGTGAGGGAGGCAGTCGCTAGCTGTGTGTAGCAAAGTCTCTTAGTGCCTGAACTAACTATATCAGCTTAGTTGCACAGCTGTGTTGAACAAAACATGTAGATACTTATATATAACGTCTGTATATAGTGAATAAAATAAAAAACAGGATGGTGGGAGAAGAAAGTGGGCGAGTTAGGCATTGCTGAGGGAGTGGCAACGAGTGGCTAGCTGTGTGGGGCAGTCACTCCTCGTTGCTTTTCGACTCACAATACCAACTTAGTGGTTCGTAAATATGCTACAATTTTTTTTTTCCCCCGTGCTCAGGGAACACAAATTAACATTTTTAGAAGACAAAATAATTAAAAAAAAAAAATTCTTGCGCACAGGGGTGTAAATCTCCTCAGGACTCATTAGCAGCTTAAAGGTTAAGACACTCTTGTGTAATTGAAGGCAGTCTTTGTCTGCCATCTACCAGGTCAGGCACACAGAAAGGTAGGAATTCGAAAACAAACTACGGCGGGTCAAAAATTGCAAACTGAGAGCCGAACTTGCAAGCAGAACTCCCCAATCAAAAACAGAGAAAACAGTATGACGTCACCACAACAACCGTGCGCATCCGTCTGTGCAACCCCCTTTCCTGGGAGTGGGATGGTGGGGGTCCCAGACCTCCCCGCCGGCTACTCTCCTCAGTTCAGAGTCTGAATATCAAAAACGCGAAAAAAACGACGACCGGGGAGAGGGGGAGATGCAGGGGAGCCTCCAGGTCTCACCTAGAAAATGGCATTTCATTACATTCAGCGCTGGTTTTCTGTTGAAAGCCCCTTCGGCTGCCCGGAGCTACCTAACCAAAGGTAAAGAAGGAAGGGACTTACCCGGGAGGTGGCCGTCACTCACCCCTCAACTCGAAGTCGAGACAACTGGCTGCAACCTGCAACCCAAGGCTACACACGCTTGGGAAGGGCCGGGAACATTAAAGAGGTACCGTGTGGCCAGGACCCTGTTCAACCCCCAAAAGCCCCATGTCCAAATGTCAGCCCAGGACATATTACCAAAAGCAGCAGCCAAAGCCGCGAACTTACGAGCGTTGTGGGCACGGGGATAGACCGCAGGCGGGCTGGACCGAATAATCCTCCGAACGACCATGGAGATCCACACCCGAGAACAGGGAAGGGAAACTGGGTCCACCCAAAGCACATCCCCTGCCACGGAGGTCGTGGCGCACAAATAACGGCGAAGAGCCACAACTGGAGATAAAAAATGATGCATCTCTGGCCGAACCAACCAAGCATCAACAACCCAAGGACCCCCTTTGGAAAGCAGCAGACTCATTCTTCGTCAGAAAAGAAGGAGACAGCTGCAAACAAACAAAATGACCACCAGGACCGAAAGAGCAGAAACCCCTGTGCTGGAGGAGAGCATGAAGCTCCCCGACCTAACCCCTAGAGGCCAATGCCAACAAAAAAAGGAGCCTTAGAAAAACAGTCCTGAACCGAGGGAGCCACCACAAACTGAGGAGAAGAGAGAAGAGAGAGCACCCGGTCCACCAACCAGGCCTGCTCATGCGACGCATGAGGAAGTCAGAGCTGAAACAACGCCCGAGAAAACTTGCAGAACAGAGTAGAAGTGACATCCACCTGAAATGCAAGCTGCAATGGTTCTGCCAGCGCCACACGATATGAGGCAACAGTATTTGGCTTAACAAAAAAACGAGATCAGAAATCGAAGACAACCAACTAAGAGACAAAAATTGCCGAAAGGACCGCCAGGAAATTTCATACTGCCGTCGAGACGAAACTTGCAGGTGGGACACCATCAATGAAACGACCCGATCACCATACAAGTGGTAATAAATCAGTACAAAAAAAGACCAGACGCAAAGAGCGGAGATCGAACCAGCAACGTACCGGACCGGAATGATCTGCTGAAAGAGGCGGAGCCGTGGGATAACCCTCGGATTCGGACATCGGGCAAGAAGCGCCTGAAACCAGGGATGGTCTGGCCATAATGGAGCCAACAGGACTACTTTCCCCTGGTAAGTCTCCAAGCGAGCCAGGACCCAAAGCAACAGCCAAACTGGTGGGAAGAGGTACAGGTAACCCCACCTCGACCAGTTCAACCGAAAGGCATCGACCCCGACAGCCTCACAGTCTGGGAAGGGTCCCCCGCATGCACGGGAAGACGCCGCGACCACACCTTTGCGAAGAGATCCATCTCCGGGCACCCGGCAGAGTCAACTGAACGATTCGGCGTCGACCGTTCATTACGTGGATAGGGGAATGAACTGAGACAGGCCTTCTGCTAGGACGTTTGACACACCCTGAATGAGAACTGCCAGGAAAGTCAAACCCAAGGACAGCATCGAACCCCCACATTTCAGACAATGAACCACAGGGAAGAACTCCGAATGGAGCCGGATCCTTGCTCCGCGAGCGACACGAACCCTCTGAAGCGAATGCCACACTACTACAAAGTCCCGTGCGGTGCTGTAAGCCTGACTGAAGGGCAGACCCCACCGACCCTGGCCAGCCTGGGTGAACACTGGTCACAAAACCCCAGCCGAGAGACGAGGCATCCGTGAACACCTCGAGCGAGGGCGTGGGGAAGCGCTACTGCACAGAACCCTGAAAAACCCTCAGAGGAAGCCAGCAACGCAGCAGCCGACACAAAGGTTCGCAGGATGTCCCCAAAGAAACCAGAACAACCGCCGAAGCCAGATCCAACTCGACGGGTAGAACAGCATGGTGAAGTACAGTTCGAGTGGCTGTGTTGTGAAGGAGCACAGCCACTCGAACAACTGACGTGTGACCCGTGTGCCCTCTAAAACAGCCATAGGTGGGACCACAGGCGCAACAATGCTGCAAGAGGGAGAGACAAGGAAGCGATCCAAGAGTCCCACACACGACCCAGCCAAGTCTGAATGAATGAAATACTAACAGAACACCTAAGGACCCCCACTGGAATTCGTGATCCCAAATTTGTGGAAGGAGCTGGTCAGTGGGACACTCTTGCCAATTCACACCCTCGACCAACGTTTCCAAACGACGGCAAACAGGCCAAATGGGATTGCCCCATAGTGGAGAACATTGCCGCTGGTTAGTCTGAGCGGGCAGCCTCCCCATGCCTCACAACACTATGAGTGCCACTTCTTCTAAATTTCTCAAACCATCCCCTGGTTGTCTTAAACTCTTTTGCATCTGCATCACTTGTTCGAGGGGTGTTCTTTATAAGATCTTCATGCAATTTCCTTGCTTTTTCACAAATGATGGCCTCTGAAATGCTATCACCTGCTAACTCCTTGATGTGTATCCAAATTAATAACTTTTCAACATCAAGTGTTTATGTTCTTTGTTTCACGATTGTTGATATGCTTTTTGCCACTTTAGCACTCAATGTCCTTTTTCTTAGCAATTACAGTGCATAATGTTGGCAAAGATTTGTTGTACTGCCTAGCTAGTTTAACAACCTGTGTACCATTTTCATGTTTACGAATGATCTCTTGTTTTTCCTCTATGGTCATCCTCACGTGTGTTTTCTTGGATTGAACCTTACCACTGGCTTTCTTCGGACTCATGGCGAGATATATAATAATAATAACTTTTATGTTCAAAAACTCAAAAATCCGAAAAATATTGAAATTCTTTACAAAGAATTCAAGCATGATTGTCATTAGGAAGGAGGCACTGTTAGACTGAGGCATGGTTGCTGTGCCACCACGCGCTAGGTCGGCCATACTCACAAGAACAAACTTTGTTACCCAAGGCAAAGTTCGTAACCAGATTCAGATTTTACAAAGAAATTGGGCTCGTAACCCGAAAGGTTCATAAAGAGGGGCATTCGTAAAACGAGATGTCACTTTACAGTGTATATGCAAAGTACCTAGCTCTACAATTGTCATTGGAAAAAAATTATAATTTTGTGCAGAAATCTCAGTAAGAAATTTTCAAAGGCATGATTTTCACATTTCAGGGAAAGGGGGGGCCAAAATAATTATTTTTACTACAACTAGAGATAATAAATGGAATTAACACATGAAAATTCAAGATTAGATACCATTATAATAGCTCAGTGCATTAGATACTGTATAATAAAAAAAAATTAAATTTGTATTTATTCTTAGTTTTTGAAAATGTGCCTTTTGTGGTATAGTAAATACTGTCTTATGCAGCTGAAACTTCTGTCATTAGGATTGCTTAGCAGTTCTATTCTGTCAGAAAAATTCATCAAAATTTAACAACTTTTACTTTTCTTAATTATGTCCCTTATTAGAGGGTACTGTACTAGGTTTTGGCCTTTGGTCCCTGGTGGGCTTATAAATATGACTCGCAAGGGTCTAGTGTTAACTGAATTGAAAAAAGCTTTCCCAAGTAGCAAGCACCATGGAGCCATCCGTAGGAGCCCTCCTGGAAATTTCACTAAGGAAATTATTTCACTTGGTGGATTTGGTCCAGATTTTTGTGAAATCTGCTCTATGTTGAGATCCTGATTTTGAGGGTACTATTGCATTGCCATGTGTCAGGATAACTGCATGCCACAGCCAACAAATATAAGATACAGGTACAAACTCACCATTGGGCTGTATTGCCAGGTCTCGGGAAAACTGCGTGTCACATGTGAGGCACATCATAGCAGAGTGCAACATTTTCTCAAGTGCATTTCTCTCCAAGACAGGTGTTAAATTTTGCATCAAACTCTGTACAGTATAACAGAAAATAAAATTGAGAATTAATACAGATGCCAAACAATAATAAGACAAATTTTATAAAAGGTAAATTACATACAACATATTGTACTTATTACAGCCCATTCTCCTAAACTAATACTAAAAGTAGTTATTTGTTCATAAGTACCAATATGTATTGACGGCACAAAAAACCAGCGTTGAATGTAATGAAACACCATTTTCTGGGAGATCCCGGAGAATTCCCGGAGCTATACTGGGTATATATTATTATTATTAGTGTATATATTAGACCGTGGCAACAGTCAATCGAAGGAGTTCTAGGCCTACTGGGGATCAGAGCCAGAACCTGGCCCCCTCAAGAGAGGCACGAGGAGCAATGGCCTAAAGACACCCCCCGTGATATTGAAAGCAGTCTTTGTCTGCCATCTAACAGGTCAGGCACCCAGAAAGGTAGGAATTCCAAAACAAGCTACTGCTGATCAAATAATTTGCAAACTGAAAGTCGAACTAGCAACAGAACTCCCCAATCAAAACCAAAGAAACAAATATGACGTCACCACAAACGCTGCGAATGCGTCTGCGCAACCCCCCCTCCCCAGGCGGGGGACGGGAGGGTCCCCAGACCTCCACACCGGCAACTCTCTTCAGAGGCCAAGTATCAAAAACGCGAAAAAAACGCCGACCGAAGGGAGGGAGGGATGCCAGGGAGGCTCCGGGTCTCACCCAGAAAATGGCGTTTAATTACATTCAACGCTGGTTTTCTGTGGAGAGCCCCTTCGGCTCCCCGGAGTTACCTAACCAAAGAAAAAGAAAAGAGGGAATTACCCGGAAGGTGGTCGTTACTCGCTCCTCAACTTGAAGTTGAGACAAATGGCTGCAACCTGCAACCCAAGGCTACACACGCCCGAGAAGGGCCAGAAACATTAACAAGATACCTTGCGGCCAGGACCCTGTTCAACCTCCAAAAGCCCCGTGCCCGAATGTCAGTCCAGGACATATTCCCCAAAACAGCAGCCAAAGCCGCGAACTTATGAACGTCGTGTGCACGGGGATAGACCGCAGGCTGGCTGGACTGAATAATCCTGAGGACGACCTGGGAGACCCGCACCCTGGAACAGGGAAGAAGAGAAACCGGGTCGACCCAAAGCGCATCCCCTGTCACAGAGGCCGTGGTGCGCAGATAACAGCGAAGAGCCGCAACTAGATACAGAATGTACCCCCAGCTGAACCAACCAAGCATCAACAACCCAAGGATCCCTTCGGAAAGCAGCAGACTCATTCTTCGACAGAAAAGAAGGAGAAGGCTGCAAACGAACAAAACGACCACCAGGTCCGAAAGAGCAGAAACCCCTGCACTGGAGGAAAGCATGAAGCTCCCTGACCCGACCCTCAGAGGCCAATGCCAACAAGAAAAGAGCCTTAGAAAAATAATCCTGGACCGAGGGGGCCACCACAAACCGAGGAGAAGAGAGATAAGAGAGCACCCGGTCCAACGACCAGAATGGCTCAGGCGGTGCATTGGCAGGCCGGAGGTGAAACAACGCCCAAGAAAGCTTGCTGAACTAAGCAGAAGTGACATCCACCTCTAATGCAAGCTGCAGCGGCTCCGCCAGCGCCGCACGATACGAGGCGACAGTATTTGGCATAAGAAGACGGTCCTGAAGCAACCAAGAGAGAAATGATAAAGCAACCCGATCAGAAATCGAAGACAACCTACGAAGAGACAAAAAATGCAGAAAGGACCGCCAGGAAATTTCATACTGCCATCTCAAACTCACAGGTGAGACACCATCAACGAAGCCACCTGATCATCATACAAATGGTAATACACCCGCATCAAAAAGACCAGACACGAAGAGTGGAGAAGCTCAAACCAGCCATGTACCGGACTGGACCGATCTGCTGAAAGAAGCGGAGCCGCGGGAAGACTCTCGGGTTCGGACATCCAGCAAGAAGCGCCTGAAACCAGAGCTGGGCTGGCCACCAAGGAGCCAACAGGACTACTCTCCCCTGGTAAGTCTCCAACCAAGCCAGGATCCGGAGCAACAACCGGACAAGTGGGAAGAGGTACAGATAACTCCACCTCCACCAGTCCAGCCGAAAGGCATCGACCCCGATAGCCTCGCCGTCTGGGAAGGGCGCCACATAAACTGGAAGACGCCTCGACCACGTCGATGCGAAGAGGTCCACCTCTGGGTGCCCATACGTCTGACAGAGCCAACTGAACGAGTCGGCGTCGACCGTCCATTCCATGGAAAGGTGAATGAACCAAGACAGGCCGTCCACCAGGATGTTTGACACCCCTTGAACATGAACCGCCAGGAGAGCCAAACCCTGAGAACTCAGCAGATGAGTCACCCGAAGCGATCAGCCCTAAAGAACCAAGGACCGCATCAAACCCCCGCAGTTCAGGCAATGAACCACCGGGATGCAGTCGGAATGGAGCCGGATTGTTGCTTCTCGAGCGACACGAATTTTCTGAAGCGAATGCCACACAGCCGCAAACTTCCGTGCCGAGCTGTGAGCTCGGCGGAAGGACGAACCCACCCGACCCTGGCCGGCCTCGTAAGCACTTGTCACAAAACCCCAGCCAAGAGAAGAGGCATCCGTGAACACACCGAGCGAGGGCTCGGTGAAGCGCCACAGCACAGAACCCCGAAAAACAAGCAGAGGAAGCCGGTGACGCAACAGCTGACGCAAGACTCCTGTGATCCGAACCCATCGAATCGCGAGAGCAGCGGAAGGGCAACAACAAAGAAACCAGAAAATCCCCCGAAACCAGATCCGACCAGATGGGTAGACCAGCACGGTGAAGTTCAGGCTCCGGCACAGCTGCTCAAACAACCGACGTGTGACCTGGGTGCCCTCCAAAAACAGCCATAGGCAGGACCGCAGCCGCAACAGCGTCGCAGGAGGGAGAGACAAGGAAGTAGTCCGAGAGTCCCACACAAGAACCAGCCAAGTCCGAACCTGAGAGGGAACGAAATGGGACTTCCTCCAGTTCACTAAGAACCCGAACTCGGCGAGCTGGGAAAGAACCAAATCCCTGGCGAGCAGACACACACGGACTGGCTGGGAGCACACATCAGCCAGTCGTCAAGGTAAGCCAGAACCCGAACCCCTAACAGACACAAACGGGTCACCGTGACCTGGGGTAAGGCGTGTGAACACTCGAGGTGCCAGATTCAAACCGAATGGAAGGCAACGAAAGCTGTAAGCTAGTCGCCCCACAACAAAACCGAGCCAGTCCCTGAACACCGGATGAATCGGGACGTGCCAATACGCATTCCGGAGTGCCAGAGACACCATCCAGGCACCTGGAGCCAAAAGCAGCCTGACCTGAGACAGAGTGATCATCCGAAAGGAGGGGCAAAAGACCCGGGGATTCAGACGAGACAGGTCCAGTATGAATCGCAGATCCACACAGTCCCATTTTGGAACTGAAAGCAGGCGGGAATCCCATCTGAGGAACGTTGTCGTTTCAACCACACCTAGGTGAACCCACTCCCAGATGATCTGACAGAGCACAGGAGAAGAGGCCTGCCCAGCCAGCCCCGATCTCCCCGAAGGAGAAGGAGCGTCCCAACACTACCGCAGGCTGGAGGAAACGACCCAAAATGCCCACGAATCGTAGGACCGGATGAGAGCAAACAGTGTGAGCCAACCCCCTATCGAACTTTAACACGAAAGGGCCGACGACCCCTGCGAGAGCCCAACCAATACTCAGAGCAATCACTGCACCGACTGGATGCCAACGGCTCCAGAGTAGGTGCCGGCCACAAATCTGGCACTACTGGCTTACAACGACCGAAGGAACCCCGAGAACTGGCAGGACCACCATCCCCCCCCCCCATCCCCGGAGAACCAACAAGTCCGACATAGGCCGGCAACTAGGCGAAGTTGCCTGCAGAAAATGCACCACCACAGACTATGCAGACAGCAACGGACAAGAAAGGGACGAAAATCTAGGAGCCAGGGCCCAAGCCGATTCCATAGAGTGGACGAGCACTGCCTGTCAGCACGCGAGGCGAGAAGCAAAGAACAGGGTTACCGCCTCCCTCAGAATTGGCGCAAACAACTTTAACAAGGCAGCCGACGCCCGAGCTGCCTAAGCAAACACACCAGACTTCGGCCCAGATCCCAGTTCCTGCGCATCCTCGCCAAGCCAGTCCGAAGACAGCTCCAACTGATAAAAGTAACGCAAGACCGAAGCCAAATGCCTACAGGCGCGCAATTCCTCGGCAACCAGGGACACTGAAAGGGAGGGAACCTGCGAGTGAAACTGAATCTGACCGACATCACAAGAAAGTATGGGTTCAAGCAAGCACGCATTAAGGTGCTCACATTAGGTGTCCTAGGTAAATCTGAACAACCGTAGTCACTTCCCGCCATTGAAGCACACAGGCCCGACAGAATGAATACCATGCCCCCAACGAAAAGATATGGCAGTCCGCCAACCAGGAAGACTCCAGCATCTCGTAACGCATCCAGAAAGAAAACGAGGAGCAAAACTCGAAAGAAGAAGGATCCATTGCCGAGGCGTAATCTGGATCTTGCAAGCGCTAAGCCACAAGGTATTCCCGCGCCACCTCTGATGTGATGCGGAAAGCCAAAAACCTCTGGAAGGAGGGAACCGAGGAACCCAAGGGAACCCGGAACTGAACCCGGGGAGGCGTCGCACCCATATCAAACTCGTACAGGGAGGGGGATAGGAAAAACCCTCCCCCTGTAACAAGCCCCAAGCCGAGGGTACCAACATGGCCCAAGGGCTCCAGCAGGAGGAACAGGCTCGAATGCCTCCACCGCCGATCCGGAAGGGGCATTCCCTGAAGCCGCCTGAGACTCACCACCAGGCAAACCCTGCCCTGACTATGAAACCCTCAGATGTTTGGGAGCCGGGAGAGCAGGATGAACCACAGCAGGGGAAGGACTAGGGGATGCAGATGAAACCAAAGTCGAGGTGACCAACACCCCCAAGTCCAAGTCAAGGGGATAGAGCAACCTTCAAACTCTCACAAAGCGAGGTGGGACTCTGGTGGTGATGGTGGTGGTGATGGTGGTGGTGTTGCTGGTGGTGTTGCTGGTGGTGTTGCTGGTGGTGTTGCTGGTGGTGTTGCTGGTGGTGTTGCTGGTGGTGTTGCTGGTGGTGTTGCTGGTGGTGTTGCTGGTGGTGTTGCTGGTGGTGTTGCTGGTGGTGTTGCTGGTGGTGTTGCTGGTGGTGTTGCTAGTGGTGTTGTTGAGGTCTCTTCCATCGAACCACTGAGCCCCCAAGGGGGTTTCCAGGACCCTTAGGCTGACTGCTAAGGGAAGCCCAGGTGAGGTACTGCTAACCAGTTATCCCAGAGCTACCAAGCAAACAAACTATAAGCTGAACCCCTGCAACGTGTGCAAGCATGGGGAACTAGTGGAAGGCCACCAAAATCATACAAATGGTCTTACCGCCACACCAGGCAAAACAAACCAAAAATAAAACAAAAGCTCCGCAAAAGCACGTCTCCAGGTGAACAAAACCGGCCGCTATGCATATATCAGACAACTGAACAATACCTCGTGTCCGAGCCAGCGACAAAACTACCTCCTACCCAAGGAAAACAGGAGCAAGAATCACCCCAGCGGGCAATCACCGAGCAGCAACATAACCACGCAGAGGTAGTTCCCGAATGGCAGTACAGGTGTACTTACAGGGCACCTAGGGAAGGCGGCCCCAGGTACATGCAGCCACAGTACTCTTGTGTTACTCCTGGCTCGCACGATACCAAAACTTAACACCACCGCCTGCAGCACTGCTCAAAGGATGGAGCCAGAGTCGATCAACCGTTCGCCCTCACAACACCCTGTGAACTGAGGAGAGTTGCCGGCGCGGAGCTCTGGGACCCCCCCGTCCCCCTCCCGGGAAGGGGGAGGGAGGATTGCGCAGACGGATGTGCGCGCGTTATGGTGACGTCATACTTGTTTCCTTGGTTTTGATTGGAGAGTTCTGTTGCTAGTTCGGTTTCGGTTTGCAAATTATTTGATCAGCAGTAGTTTGTTTTGGAATTCCTACCTTTCTGGGTGCCTGACCTGGTTAGTTGGCAGACAAAGACTGCTTCCAATTACACAGGGGTGTCTTTAAGCCATTGCTCCTCGTGTCTCTCTTGAGGGGGCAAGGTTCTGGCTCTGGACCCTCGTAGGGCTAGACTCCTTCGATTGACTGTTGCCAAGGTCTAATATATACACATCAGCCCGGTATAGCTCCAAGGAGCCGAAGGGGCTCTCCACAGAAAATTTCACATTTTGTATTCCTGAATTAGCCCAAAAGGCATTCTTTAAATACAAAAGATAAATAAAGAACCTAACCTAACCTGTCCCAGCAATCCTACGTCTAATATAGAAAATTTACATGCTACTAGGCCTAAGAATCTTTAAATTTGGTTTTGGCTTTTCTTTTACTAGTGATATCAAAATACCCAAAATTGTCATGCCAAAAAAGGAAATAAGATCATATGTAATTAAAAAACTTTTTTTTTTTTTTTTTAAATAATTTTCTGAACTTTGCACTATTACTTTCAAAGTCAATATTTAACAATTCTGTGGTCCCTCAATCTGTGTTGGGTTACACTTCTGTCAAACCATGTATGGACTGAATTAGCTCAGAGCTTACTTAATATATGAGAAAATTATTAAATTGCACAGAGAAAAAATATCTAAAATTTTCCATTCGTCACTCAAGGTAACACCTGTTCCCATTTATAATAAGTTTATATATATTAAACAAAAGTGTACTACACTTACCTTGTACGTAATTCCTCTCTGCCTGCTGGGGTATATTGGAGATGGGGGTCAGGATTACTCTTTTCATTCATACATTTTTATCATCAGAGATTCGAACTTGGGTCCCAAAAGTATGAGACCACTGTCCTACCAACCAGACCATGGATGCTCACAACAGACTTGTCCATCAAACAGTAACTGGGGAAGTGTGACATCCAGCAAGTTTTCTAGATTCTCACTTAGAATCACATTAGCAGGAATTTCAGATGAAGTCAGTCGTAGGTGTTGATGCAACAACAGGTGATGAAGGCAATAAACATTGCTGTATGGTAGTCAGCTTTGCCCTGCATTGTTTCTCCCAGTAATTGAGCTTGTAAGAAGCAACAGCATCTTTTATAATCCTCAAAATCTATACATACCACTCATAATTATTTCCTACCACAGATGTGGCCATACATTTACAATACTGATCAGCATATATATTTTCTTCTGTCCTCCATGGACAGAATACATCCAGTTATATCCTTCTCCTCTTCCTTCTGCTACTGGTGTATATTTCATCATCAGGTTTTTCAAAAATTTTCATGCCTAATTCAGTGTTGAAATTTGTTCAACTTCAAAACAACTTGAGTTTGCAAGTCACTGAATATTCTCGCAAGTCTTCATGCAAGGTTTACAATTTTGTCCTTCAGCATCTGTGTTCATAAATTCTGAAAAATCATTGACAAACACTTTTTAAAATTTCTTCCTAACAGCATCTATTATGCCACATTTCACAATGGACCAAACACCCTTAACACTTGGAGCTGCCTGGCGTGTGTGCCTCAACCCACCCTAAGGTGGGCCTGGCGTTCTCCATGAGCATGCACCCACACTAAAATGTGTGTTCTATTTTCAGTTTTCTCATCAATTTTCATGTTACATTGTTCATTTAGATATCAAATTGTTCACAACAGAATTCGCTAAAGGAATATATGCATATTAAGTCAAAATACCCAACGTGCCACCTACAGCAAACTCGAAAATCAACCGAGCGTTACCCATGAGCGCCCAACCACAGTAAAATGTGTATACTCTTCAGTTTTCTGATGCCAATTTTTGTATTACATCGCTCATTGTGGTATCAAATTGTTCACAATAGAATTCTCTTAAGGGATATATGCATATAAGGTAAAACAAACAGGCACGCTACCCACAGCAAACCAGAAAATCAGCCAAGTGTTGCCCATGAGCAAGCACCCATCCGCATACCCTCACACAAATGTGAATATTCTTTTCAGTTTGATCACCTCAATTTTGTGTCACGTCGTTCATTTTGGTATCAAATTGTTTGCAATGGAATGCACTAAAGGGATATATGCATATAAGGACAAATGGAAGAACAACATTACCAATACCATAAGATAACATACAGTATATCGTCATGTGAAAAGCTGGCTTTTTGTCATTATTTTACATTTGTTATTCATTCCCGACATTATTTGTGACACTATCATTCGTTTTTGTGTTGCTTCCTTCACACAAGTGTTTGTACCACAATATCATATACATAAATGCAAAAGCTTGTTTGTAATTACCACCAACAATGTTTGTAGAGCACGAATTGAGCATTAGGTTGAACCACTCCACGTACTCCAGGAAAAGCTTTCCTGAAGTTTCTCAACCCATGTTTTATATGTGGAGTGGATGGGGGTAAGCATTACTGCTTATCCACCCAGTATGTCCTCTTGCGATGATACAAGCCGGAGAATAATGTAGGACACAGTGCCACACCACACGACTTGCACTTATACCTGCTGTCCTTCCTTTTACCAGACTTGTAGCAGACACGACACTTCAGACCTTTCTCGATGCGAATTAGGGAATGGTTCAAGTTCCTGTTCAGACATTCGGGTTTATCCACAAAACCAATACAGTATGAGGTCTCTCCTAGCAGCAGCAGCACAAGGAGTGATCTGAGACCATGCCAGCTGAGTAATCTGTAGTACAAGCCAGCTGAGTAATCTGTAGTACAAGCCAGCTGAGTAATCTGTAGTACAAGCCATCATGTACTGTTTTACTCCATACTTATCAAGTTTATTTGGATTATAAACCTTGAAAGCTAGATGGCCCCCCTCCATGACATTGTGCCACATAAGCCATCACAGAAAATGGGAAGACGTTGGCACACATTTTAAAACACATCCCATAATGATAGAAAAAATTGAATTTTAACAAATATTTTAATTTTCAGCGCAAAATGTATCCCCGCCAGACATCCGTAGAGTTAATTATGGACGCAATATCTGTCACCGATGGCCGAAAGTGTTAATATTCTTTATTACATGACATGCTATAAGTTTTCCCCAAATTCCTAAAATGTTGGCTAATTGGGTACATCTGAAAATGCCATCAACAGTAATGTGCTTTAAAAAGACTTAATGACATACAATACGTCGATTGAATTATGATGGTAGTGTTCGACAGCAGAAATATGATTACCATTTTCATAGAGATCAGGCCAGTGTGCACTATGTCTCGGAGGTTACCAACAATGGGCAAAGCCTTGAAAGTAAGGTTTTCCTCATGCCAGTAGCCTTTCACCTTACTGCAGAAAATACTGAAATATTTAGGATCCCCTTGACCTTTTCCATGATGCAACTGCCAACAGTTACCATATTCCTAGGTATCTATTTACTTCTAGGTGCACAAAGACATCAGGTATAAGGAAACCTATCCAATCCTCTCACCTTGCCTGGGAATTAAACCAGGCATCATCTGTCAGTAGTAAGCCAATTGCAGCAACCACTCTGCTACAGGTAACCAATGATTTTTATTTCACGAGAAATTATTTTCTGCAAACTAATGAATAGCATACAAGCTTAATATTAAAATCTAGAAAAGCAAATACCCCTTCAGCTACTATTACACATACTACAATGTAACGCAAAAGAAATAAAAAAATATGTAAAAACTCAAAAAATACTAAAACATTGTACCTGATAATCAGGAAGGTCAAGGATATATGTTCTTGTCTTGTAAGCAGGTCTTATAGTATCAAAAGTAATGAGAATCCTGTGGGGTGACGTTGACAGCAGCTCTACGCTCTCAACACATCCAAGTTCCCACTAGAAAAACACAAATGCACATTATTATTAAATTATATTATATATATACTGTATATATATATATATATGTCGTACCTAGTAGCCAGAACGCACTTCTCAGCCTACTATGCAAGGCCCGATTTGCCTAATAAGCCAAGTTTTCCTGAATTAATATATTTTCTCTAATTTTTTTCTTATGAAATGATAAAGCTACCCATTTCATTATGTATGAGGTCAATTTTTTTATTGGAGTTAAAATTAACGTAGATATATGACCGAACCTAACCAACCCTACCTAACCTAACCTAACCTATCTTTATAGGTTAGGTTAGGTTAGGTAGCAGAAAAAGTTAGGTTAGGTTAGGTTAGGTAGGTTAGGTAGTCGAAAAACAATTAATTCATGAAAACTTGGCCTATTAGGCAAATTGGGCCTTGCATAGTAGGCTGAGAAGTGCGTTCTGGCTACTAGGTACGACATATTATATATATATATATATATATATATATATATATATATATATATATATATATATATATATATATATATATATATATTATATATATATATATATATATATATATATATATATATATATATATATATATATATATATATATATATATATATATATATATATATATATATATATATATATATATATATATATATATATATATATATATATATATATATATATATATATATATATATATATATATATATATATATATATATATATATATATATATATATATATATATATATATATATATATATATATATATATATATATATATATATATATAATATATATATATATATATATATATATATATATATATATATATATATATATATATATATATATATATATATATATATATATATATATATATATATATATATATATATATATATATGTCGTACCTAGTAGCCAGAACTCACTTTTCAGCCTACTATTCAAGGCCCGATTTGCCTAATAAGCCAAGTTTTCCTGAATTAATATATTTACTATAATTTTTTCTTATGAAATGATAAAGCAACCCTTTTCTCTATGTATGAGGTCAATTTTTTTTTATTGGAGTTAAAATTAACGTAGATATATGACCGAACCTAACCAACCCTACCTAACCTAACCTAACCTATATTTATAGTTAAGGTTAGGTTAGGAAGCCAAAAAAAGCTAGGTTTGGTTAGGTTAGGTAGGTTAGGTAGACGAAAAAACATTAGTTCATGAAAACTTGGCTTATTAGGCAAATCGGGCCTTGAATAGTAGGCTGAGAAGTGCGTTCTGGCTATTAGGTACGACATATATATATATATATATATAATATATATATATATATATATATATATATATATATATATATATATATATATATATATATATATATATATATATAATATATATATATATATATGTGTTGTACCTAGTAGCCAGAACGTCGTACTTGGCCTACTATGCAAGGCCCGATTTGCCTAATAAGCCAAGTTTTCCAGAATTTATATTTTTTTCAATATTTTTTTCTTATGAAATGATAAAGCTATCCATTTCGTGATGTATGAGGTATTTTGATTTAAATTTGAGTTAAAACTAACGTAGATATATGACTGAACCTAACCAATCCTATCTAACCTAACCTAACCCATCTTAACCTAACCTAAACTAACTCAACTAAGTGAATAATTTATGTTCCTAATATAATAATAATAATTCAAATAAACTAACCGGAAACAATTTATTGAAAATAAAGAAATTCACTTGGCCTACTAGGCAAATCGGGACTTGCATAGTAGGCCGAGAAATGCATTCTGGCTTCTAGGTACGACATATATATACTATATAAAATATATATATATAAAATATATATATTATATATATATAATATTATAGAATATATATTATACATATATATAATATATAAAATATATACTGTATATATAAATAAAATCTAAAATCAAATCAAATACATAAAAGTAATCCGTTCCACCACCGAAAAACATCAATATGATATTAAATTTTTTAAATAATGAAGCAGCCTACCTGACATACACTGAACAAACCTTTATGACATTTCATTTTTTTTATAGCAAAAGATTCGTTCAGTGTATGTCAGGTAGGCTGCTCCATGTCTCTTAAAAAAAAAATTAAAAAACGAAAAATAAAAAGAAAAAATTTAACAAATTTGAAAAAAAGGAAAAAGTCAAAGGTTCATTCAGTGTTCATTCAGTGTTCATTCAGTTTGACCAACCCCGGTGCATTGGAGCATTGGATTCGTTGCAAGAGGTGACCTTCAAGAGGCCTTTGCATCAGTCTTTTTTTTCTTGTAAACAATAAAAATGCATTATCATATTACAGTATATACTGTACCTATATATTACTACTCTACTAGAAAAACCCTGTTACAGTTGTTATATACCTTATTGTTGGAGTTATGTCGATCTTGAATTCTCATGGAGTTGTGAATGCTGTACAATTAATACGTACTGTACTGTATTATGCCGTTAGCACTGTATTGATAAGTAGTTCTGCTGTATGTTGAGTACTACAATACAGTTTATGAAAACTATTTTACACTAAAATTTCTGTACTGCAACCTTAACACTAACACTATGTACATAAATTTCACATTTATTCTAACTGTACACTCCACACACACCATGTTCTTAGATGTTTGCATCAGCTTTGCTGGTGCTCGCTGCTGCTGCTGTGTTTGTTTCAGCTGCTTCTGAGCTCGTGCTGGGTACGGCTGTGCTCGTGCTGGGTACGGCTGTGCTCGTGCTCGTTGATTTACTGCTACTAGTTCTTGCAAAATATTGCTTCATTTTTGGCATTAATAAGGCACTATTAGCAAGCCCCTGAAACATTTTGTTGTATAACAATACAGATGTAGTCAAAAAATGGTAAATTCCACGATTATTCTTCCACTGGCGGATAAATACGTCAATCGCAGACAAAGCTAAGGGCACTGGGTGCCAACTGTGTGAACATAGACTAAGTCTAGATACCCTACAGTAGGCTGGTGTTTAACCCTTAAACTGCGCATGGCGTATATATACGCCCTGAGTAACATGTCCCATGGTGCGCATGGCGTATATATACGCCACAGGGTGCCAGGCCCGATTCAAATGGCCCGCGGCTACACGGGGTTTACAATAGCTTCCTCAGGGCTCTTGTAAAAAGACGCCATTTAAAAAAAAAATCGTGGGCAATATTCTCAGGTGTGAGATGTACAGTACTGTTGGAGCAACCAAGGCTGGCGCACGCAGCATGAGCGAACAGCATTGCTGTTCAGCTTGTGACCACAGCATCGTCGAAAAATGTCAAAATAAATATATAATTGTTATTATTTAGCAATGACAATATTACAGATGACCCATGACTGTGATATAAATAACCAGGGTTGTGATAATAGCAGGATTGTTGTAATAATTAGCGCTGTGGGAGGAGTGATGCTGAGAGACGGAGGGAGACAGCATCGTTTACTGACTGTGTGGCTACCTGTTATTGTTTGCATTCACCATACCAGGTCAGCGGTTCTCTATGGTGGACACAAATGTAGATACTTATATATAATGTGTGTATTAGTGTAATACCAGCAAAAGGATTATGCTGGGAGGAGCCATATGGGTGACGGAGGTGACGTCGTCTGCACGATTTGTCTGGCTGTTTAGAGGGTGGCCACTATGCTCTTTGGGCGCATTACAAGCTTAGGTGTACAGTTACGGTGCATAAAACATGTAGATACTTATATATAATATGTGTATATAGGGTAATAACACTGCAAACAGTATTGTTGGTGGAGAAAGTTTAGTGCGTGTGACCTTGAATGAGTGAGGGAGCCGCCAGCCGCCATCTATGTATAGCGACGACTCTTAGTGCCTGAACTAACTATATCAGCTTAGCTGTACAGTTGTGGTGAACAAAATATATACATACTTATATATAACGTCTGTATATAGTGTAATAACACCACAAATGGTATTGTTGGGGAAGAAAGTTTAGTGCGTGTGTTGAGGGAGTGGCAGCGAGTGGCTGGCTGGTGTGTGGCAGTAACTCCTCGTTGCTTTTCGACTCTCAATACCAACTTAGTGGTTCATTATGGTGACCAAAACATGCAGATACTTATATATAACCTGTGTATAGAGTGTAATAGCAGCAAAACTATTTGTTTATTGTTTTATAAACATAATAATTGAATCACTAATATGCACATCATACTTTTGAGTATAGCGATTATTCACCACTTTTATTATATAAATATATTACAACACACACTATTGAATAATATTACTGCAAAAAAAACTAAGAAAAAATCAATCGGAGACATTGAAACAATTAGGTAATAATATCTTTGTGGCAACTCCCACCTGTCAGCGTGGGTGACGCTGACCGGGTCTGACGACCGGTCTGTCAACGCCCACTTTTTGCCAGACTTCCTCGGTCAATTGCGCCCAAAAAATGTCACCTACGATTTTTTTTTTATTTTTCCTGTGCTCAGGGGACACAAATTAACATGTTTAGAAGATGAAAAAAAAATTTTGAATTTTTTTTTTCTTGTGCACAGGGGTGTAAATGTCCCCAGGACCCCTGAGCAGTGTAAGGGTTAAGCCAGATTCAGTAACAAATTTCTCTTAAATATTGGATTTACATCAAATTATATATTTTTGAGTCATATATTTAGTTTAGCAACATTATTACGATAATAAGAGCTATAAAAACCAGCGTTGAATGTAATATAATGCCATTTTCTGAGAGTGACCCAGAGGCTCCCCGGAGCTATACAGGCTGATATGCTACTGTCAGACTTTGGCATCAGTCATGTGTATAGAGTTCTGTGGACCTACCGGGGACCACGAGCCAGAACCTGGCCCCTTCAGAGAAGCAAGGGGAGTAATGGCCTATAGAAACCCGTGTGGTTGGAAGCATTTTATGTCTGATATCGACCGGGTCGGGCACCCAGAAAAGTAAGCGTCCCAAAACAAACTCCTATTCTGGATAAAATTGCTACCTAACGCCAAACTAGCAGATAGAACTCCCCAAAAAGAAACTAGCATGACGTCACATGTCACCGCGCCAATGTCTGCGCAGCTCCCCCCTCCCAGGGAGGGGGAAGGGGGAGCCCCAGATCCCCACGCCGGCAATCCACACCCCAGTTCTGAGGCTGAATGTCATGAAAAACGTGAAAACCGCCGACCGGAGGAAGAGAGGGATGCTAGGGAGCCTCCGGGTCACACCCAGGAAATGGTGTTTCATTACATTCAACGCTGGTTTTCTGGGGGGGAGCTCCATCGGCTCCCCGTTGCTAACTACCCACAGAAGAAAGTAGAGGGACTCATCTGGGAGGCGGTCGCTTTTTGCTCCGCAACTCAAAACCGAAACTGGCTACAACCGCCGACCCAAGGCGACACAGGCCCGACTAGGCCCAGGAACGTGTATGAGATAACGAGCAGCCAGGACCCCATTCGACTGCCAAAAAACCCTGCGCCCAAATGTCAAACCAGGCCACGTTGCCAAAGACGGCAGCAAGAGTTGCGAACTTACGAACGTCACGAGCACGGGGATAGACCGCAGGCTAGCTAGCCGTAAGAATCCTGCAGACGACCTGGGAAACCCGAACCCGCGAACAGGGAAGAAGGGAAACCGGAGCAACCCAAAACGCGTCCACGGACAAAGAAACCCAGGCACGCAAATAACGGCGGAGAACCGCCACGGGCTACAAGACACGATGCACCCCCGGCCTAACCAACCATGCATCAAAAACCCAAGGACCCCTCTAGAAAGCAGCAGTCTCAATCTTTACCAGATAAGAAGGAGACGGCTACAGACGAACAAATGTACTGCCCCGACCGAAGGAGTAGAAAACCAGAATCGGAGGGGCCACCATAAACCAAGGAGAAGAAAGAAAAGAGCACTCTGTGCAATGACCAGGACATCACAGGCGGCGCATGAGCAGGCCAGAGGTGAAACAACATACGAGACAGCTTGTGGAATGGCTTAGAAGTAACATTAATATCGAACGCAAGCGGAAGCGGCTCTGCCAGCGCCGCGCAATACGAGACAACAGTATGCGGCAAAATGACGGCCCCGAACCCCGACAAAAGATGAACAAGACAACGCCAACAAAACACAGCCACCTAAGAAGGGACAGAAGGAAAAGGAAGGACCGCCGAAAAAACAAAAAACAAAAAAAAACACCGCCGTCAACAAGAAGCACGCAGGTGGGATACCAGCAACGAAGTCACCTGACCACCAACAGAAGGCGAGACTTGAGACAGAGCCAAACAAGCCGAGGAAGAGGCGGAGCCATGGGAAGACCTCATGTGCGACCACCGAGCAGGCAGAGTCAGAAACCCGAGCCAGCAAAGAAGGAGATAGAACGTCTGCCGTACCGAAAAACATCCCAACGCCAGCGAGCCGCCAAGAGGTTGGAGACAAAGACCCTGACCGACTCCAGAGAAGGGACACCGCGAGATTCCAAAAATGCCAACAGGCTGGGAAAGCCAGGAACCAGAATCGAAACCTGGCAATAGGAGAGCCAAAAGGCACAAACAAAACACACAATGTGTAGGACAAAAGGAAGCCGAGGAACAAAAAAGGTAGGCAGCAAACAGGAATGAAGGGACAGGACCACCACCAAAAGCCACTGGATATGTCCCAACACGTCATTAGGAGACTGAAGATCCAGAGGGGACATGACCACCACAAGCAAAATCCTCAGAGGAAGCAACAGGGTAGAGAAATACAAGCCAAGGAACACATGGGGCACACAGAACGGGGAAAACATGTTGAACTGAATGCCCAAATGAGCCATAGAAAAGAGAGGAAGAAGCATACCAGTGTCAGAATAAGAGACAATAGGAATGCATGAGGAAGGGATGTGGCGGAGGCCAACCCCACACCCAGCGTCAAGTGCAGATAAAAGAGCCTAGAAGGCTCAAGAAGCCGTACAGAAGTCGAATGACAGGCGAGAGGCGGGACTAAGAGCTAAAGCTCATCCCCAGCAAGCACATCTAGATGAGGACAACTAGGGGAGTACAGAGAATCCAATGTACATGGAAAAGCTAAGCCTGGTACAGCAAGACCGGCAAGGAATGAGGGACCCAGAAAATCCTGGGAACAAAGAACCCAAACAAGGAAGGCCCCAGGAAGAAGCACTGAAGGGCTGAACAAAACGCCACAACCATACCCTAACATGCAACCGCAGTATCAAAACCACAGCAAAACATCACCACATAACACTCTCAACACCGGAACATGTACCAAATATCGGGCACCTCCACCTGTGCACCTTGGAACACGGCGGAGGTGGGGCCCCGAAATTCAAGCATGGGTGGACATGCATAGGAGAGGGACTAGTTGGGCATAGTCAGGAGCCGCCTCGTATGGGCCAAGAGGCCTCCTGCAATCACCCGTGTTCTGACATTCGAATCGGGAGGTTAGGAACAAGAACTGCCAAGTATGGGCCAATAGGCCTGCTGCAGGCATCCCTGTTTGTATGTTCAATGTTCTCATGAACGTATGTACTCCCATTCGTACCCCCAAAAAACGAACCAGTGCCTGAACGAAGGAGACGCCAGACCGCATAAACTCACCTGCAGAACATAGGCACAGAAGGGTCATGACAATTTTACAAGGTTGGTGCCGCCGGAGGTGGCTAGGGTATCGTGCACCCGCAGCCGAGAAAACCGGGAGCACCACCCACGGAAGCAGGCCAGAGCCACTCATGCAGAAGAGGAGGGGAGAGGCGAAGAAGGCGGCCACCACCCAAAACACAGGGAAAACCTGGCGTCTTTCCCATAGCGGCACTCCAGAACATGCCCAGGAGAAATGGGGCACGGACTGGAGAATGAGAAGAGTGAGAGGCAAAGCACTCTAGAGAAAATGGATGGAGAACACCGGCACTTGCGCACACCGCCCGAACCAAAACAAACTCGGTACTGAGCAGTACTCAAGATGGGAGTACTTCAACAAGTGACTTGAAGAGTACAACCATTGTGATGGGATCCCTGGATTTGTTTGTTTGTTGGCTAATGATGCTAAGATAATAGGAAGGATAAGAAACTTAGATGATTGTCATGCTCTTCAAGAAGACCTGGACAAAATAAGTATATGGAGCACCACTTGGCAAATGGAATTTAATGTGAATAAATGCCATGTTATGGAATGTGGAATAGGGGAACAAAAACCCCACACAACATATAAATTATGTGAGAAATCTTTAAAGAATTCTGATAAAGAAAGATCTAGGGGTGGTTCTAGATAGAAAACTATCACCTGAGGACCACATAAAGAACATTGTGCGAGGAGCCTATGCAAAGCTTTCTAAACTTCAGAATTATACATGGATGGCGAAATATTAAAGAAATTGTTCACGACTTTTGTTAGACCAAAGCTAGAATATCCAGCAATTGTGTGGTGCCCATATCTTAAGAAGCGCATCAACAAACTGGAAAAGGTGCAAAGACATGCTACTAAGTTGCTCCAATAACTGAAGGGCAAGAGCTATGAGGAGAGGTTAGAGGCATTAAATATGTAAAAGCTTGAAGACAGGAGAAAAATTGGAATTGATAAAATTGATAGGGCAAACTTCCTGAGACCTGGAACTTCAAGAACTCTTCGTAGATTTAAACTAACTAAACACAGATGCCGAAGAAATATAAGAAAATTCACTTTCGCAAACAAAGTGGCAGACGGTTGGAACAAGTTAGGTGAGAAGGTGGTGGAGGCCAAGACCGTCAGTAGTTTCAAAGCGTTATATGACAGAATGCTGGGTAGAAGGGACACCACGAGCGTAGCTCTCATCCTGTAACTACACTTAGGTAACACTCGGGTAATTACACTCTCAGCTGGTGCGAGAGGTCTGGGACCCCCCCCCTTCCCCCCTCCCGGAGAGGGGGAAGTTGTGGAGACAGTGGTGCAGCGACTGTGGTGACGTCATGGTTGTTTGCTTGTTTTGTGACTGGGGAGTTCTGCTTGCTCATTTGGCTTTTGGTGTACAATTTTTAACCAGCTGTAATTTGTTTTTGGGATTCCTACCATTCTGGGTGCCTGACTTGGTAGATGGCAGACAGGCTGCTACCAATTACATGGAGGTGTCAATAGGCCATTGCTCCTCATGCCTCTGAGGGGGGCCAGGTTCTGGCTCGTGGTCCCTGGTAGACTAGAACTCCATTGATTGATTGTTGCTACAGTCTAATATATACATATCAGCCTGGTATAGCTTCGGGGAGACGAAGGGGCTCTCCACAGAAATACTCAAATTTTTAATTTAGCTTTCCTTGTGGTTACTTTTATGCATACACATACTGGTACAAATACTATATATATAAATACAATATATACATACATGCATACACACGTAAATATAATACATAATTAAATTTGATATATTATAATGTATATATCCACAATATCATGAGAGGCACAAACATACCCTGAACAGTGTTCTGGTTGTGATGCTATGTTTCTCCTTGAAAAATAAAGGTGTAAGAGCAAGGATAACATCCTCCTGGCATGTACTGCCCTCAGTATCATCTTCACCCTCTTTCAAGGTATTTTCACGCGCTGCCTCTATCTCCCTCTGAGCGAGGACAAGGTGGGCATCATCTTTCTCATCTGTTTAGCACATTGCAAGAAGTGAATTATTAACACTAGGAAAATGTATGAATGAAACAAAATATATGAACACACACTACATTTATTAACCACTGTAATGTGCAGTGCTATTTTTTATAATCAGGCTATATTTTAATGTGTTTTTATGTTTTCATCAATGTTTTGAAATGAAAATGGTTGAGTTTGGAAACATTTTGACATTACCTGAACACTTATAAAAACAAAAATATGTCCTTGACAATTGCACTATGCAGTTTTGCCAAAACCAGGTGAGCAGTGCAGTGATTAAAGCATGATGATGATGCTGTGTGTTCAAGACCGTGTACCTAAAATATACTTTTGATAACCAATGATTATGCAGATAATAGGTTACAATAATGTGTGGCTGAAAGATATAACATGGCCAACAAGTATGAAATAAAAGTGACAACATTTTTGTTAGTCCTGAAGTGTGAGTGTCCCCTACCTAAACCCTTGGACCATCAGGGACCCGAGGCTGGGATATGAGTAGGGTGTGAGAGTGACCCCACCCAAACCCTTGGACCATCAGGGATCCGAGGCTGGGATATGAGGAGGGTGTGTGAGGGACCCCCGTCTATCCCCTTGAACCATCAGGGACCCGAGGCAGGGGTATGAGGAGGGTGTGAGGGACCACCTGAACCCTTGATAGGATCCAGGGCACACCAAAATGTCATCACCCTCATTTTGTATGTGTTAATTGGGTTCTTTACAAATGATTGTTTTGCAAATATTTATGCACGTGCTCTATTTAGTGCTATGATACCTTGGACCCCTTTGAATAATGCTCTTCCTCCTGTAGTGTAACTCCAAGACATTGCAGCCACTAAGTATTGAAGAAACTCTTGAAGCATATATTTACAACTTGTTTACATAGTCATCACAATACCAACTAAAATCAATGAACAGCCTCTTATCCTTGAATATAGTACTAACATTACACATTGGAGAAGAGATAATTATATATTTCTGTCCACCCTAATCTACTTTGCTTTTTCCATGGACAAGATACCCAAAAGGGGAAGCTGCTCACTCTTAATGTACAGTACCAGTTTGTTTGTTTTGTTGCGTGCACCCCCGCTCCCTCCCTCCATCCCTATAAAGTCACATATGTAAAACATTTACGTCAAAATTTAAATATTTAGGAAGTCGCACTACTATGGCCAAAACAAATGAGCACTAAACGCACATACAAGACAAGACAAGAGACGTTAACGACTTCTGTCCAACTGGACTATTATTAAATTAAAACTAACAAATTAAACATCAAAATAATTTTCACATGTCTAATATGTTAGTTTAGTGTTTATATAGAGTATCTCCTAAACTTACAAAATAAATTATAAAAGAGAGTAATCAAACTCCAAGTTCTCATTGTTTAGTAATAGCATAAAAGTACTTTTTAATATGATTTCTTGTCTTGCTATTAATTTTATCTTCAAAGCAATAACTAATCTATATAAATAAAAATGGAAATGTTCGTTTATTCAAAATGGCTAATCTCCGAAAGTTCTTCAAAGATTGCTTTGAAATTTTCACACAACATTCCATTCGCATCCGAACAGGCTTTTATATACTGTACATACCATATAGATGTCACATCTTTGACGCAAAAAAAAATATGCTCTTTTTTTTTTAAACTGCGTTTTTCATGTGAGGGGAAATCTTCGTAACCTCTTTACCGATTGCTTTGAAATTTTTACAACATTGCACTTGAATAGGTACGCATTTTTATATACCTACTATATATATGCCTCATTTGTGACAAGTAAAAACACACTTTAAAAAAAAAAAAAAAGCAGCGCCATCTGTTGGAGCAATACACGTTGTAATCTCCAAAAGTTCTTCACCGATTGTGTGTGAAAATTTTGACAACGTTCCATTCATATATGGACATGTTCTTATATACCTACTATACAGATGCCACACCTGTGACAGGTAAAAAAAAAAAAAAAAAAGTGTTGAATGTAATGAAACGCCATTTTCTGGGTGAGCCCCGGAGGCTCCCTGGAGCTTACTAGGCAGATATGCTAATGTCAGACTTTGGCATCAGTCATGTGTATGGAGTTCTTATGGGCCTACCGGGGACTCTCCAAAAGGGCGCCACATAAAAAGGAGCAATGCCTAGACCATGCCAACTCGAAGACATCCATGGCCAGGAGTCCATACGTCCGGCAGAGCCAACAAAACGAGTTGGCGATGACTGGCCAATCCGCAAACAGAGGAATTTGTCTGCCAGACAGAGGACACAGGACACACCTCGGACATGAACCTCACGGTTAGCCAAACCCCTGAGAATCCAGCAAACGAGCCACACTAAGGAACCAACCTCAAAGGTCAACACCTAAGAGAAACCCTGTGGTTCCGGCAAAGAACCACCAGAGAACAGTCCGAACGAAGCTAAATGGTAGAGCACCGAGTGACCCAAACCCTCTGAAGCGCAAACCAAACAGCCACAAACTCCCAAACCGTGCTGTGAGCCCAGATGGACGGACAGACCCCACCATCCCTGGCCGACCTGGTGAGCACTGGTCACAAAGCCCCAGCCAAGAGATGACCTGTCCTTGAACACATCGAGCGAAGGCTCGGGGAGGTGCCAAGGCACGGAAACCCGAAAACCCCAAAGAGGAAGTTGGTGACGCAGCACAAACACAAGATCCCTGGAGGAACGAACCCAACGATTGCAAGAGAGGCGGAAGGGGAATCTCCGAAGGAACCAAACAGACGCTGAAGCCAAACCCCACCCCGCAGTCAGACCAGCACGTCGAAGTTCAGACTCCCACACAACTGCTCGAGCAACCGCTGAGCAACCCGGGACCCCCTCATGAACAGCCGAAGGCGGGACCAAAGCCGCAGCAACACTTCTGGAGGGAAAGACAAGGAGCGGCCCAAGAACCCTAAAGAAGGCCCAGCCAGGTCCGAACCCGGGACGGAAACAGATGGAATGGCCTCCAGATCACCAGGAAACTTGGTGATCTGGAAAGAACCACACCCCTGGCGAGCAGACAAGCGGATCGACTGGGAGCCCACACCAGCCAGTCGTCGAGGTAGGCCAGGCACCGAATCCCAAGCAGACTCAGACAGGGCACCAAGATCTAGTAAAGATGCAAAAATACACCAAGTGCCAATTACAAAATAGGGAAGGCAACAAAAGCGGCAAGCATGAGGCAAGCATGAAGCCCGCCACCAACTGTGCCAGTCCCAGAAAACTGGAGAGGAATGTGCCAAGAATTGACCTGGAGGTCCAGGGCCACCATCCAGGCACCCGGCCCCAACAGAAGCCAGACAGGACACAAAAGTCCTCCGATGAGGGCATAGAATCCAGGGCGCAGACTGAAGAAGTCCAGAAGAACTGCAGATTTGACAGGCCCATGTCTGCAATGAGCAGATGGGAACCCCAGAAGGATGGTGCGGATCAACCACGTCCAACGCACCCACTAAGATGACATGACGAAGCGCAGGGAAAGAAGCCCACCCCTCCAACCCTGAACCCCCCAAAGGGGAAGAAGCCGTCCACTGCCGCCGCCAGAGGCTGGAAGACAACCAAAAGCGCCCATTAACTGCGGGACCATGCGAGAGTCAACAGAGCAAGCTACTCCCCCAGCGCCCCATCAACAGAGAAAGGAACAGAGCCCCCCTCCAAAAGAAAAGGTACACATACACATTATGTATATACACATACACACACACACATATACACATACACACAAGGTATGTTACACACATGTGTATGCACATACACATGTGCGCACATGTTAGGTTAGGTAAGGAATTTCAACAGGAGAAACAGCTTTTGTCAGCACAGATGGAGGAAGTTACACAGGGAATAGAACAGTGCAAGGAAGATATGCAACTCATATGCACAAGTGGCCAAGGAGAAGGAAAAAATAGAAGAAGCAGTAAAGGAAGTCAAACACCGAAGCAACCAAGATAAAACAAACATTAGGCTAGAAGTGAGGAAAGAATTGGCATCTAACCCGAAGTTAGTGCAAAACACAGTTGATCGGAGTAAGTTCCTGATCATTTTTGGCTGCAAGGAAAAGGAGATAACATCTAGGTCAGAAACAGCTGTAGAAGAAGCAAAAGTAGTAGATAAAATTGTTGGCCTCGTGGAAGATCTTACAACCATAGAGAATGTCTGCGACTACAGGAGAATAGGCAGATATGTAAAAGGGAAAGATCGAGCTTTGAGGATCACCCTAAATGGTACCAAACAGATGGAAGAAGTACTAAGGAATGCTAGAAAATTACAAAGTGATGAGGATGGGAAAGTGTGGTCGTTAAGACGAGATCTTTCAAAAGAAGATAGAGAAAAGCTGAAACTGAACCTCGCCGAGGCAAAACATTTAAATGAGAGCAGGAATGAAGAAGAAATCAATTCTTTTTTCTACAAAGTGATAGGGGTAGGCAGGCCAGTAAAGTGGTACATAAAGGCAAACCAACAAAATCATTAGAGAAAGGGGGAGTGAAAAATAAGAAGAGGGGGAACAAGTTCCTCAAGATTGCATACACCAACATAGATGGAGTAAGATCAAAGATACTGGAGTTAAGTGATATAATACAGCTGCAGACACCAGACATTGTTGCACTCACGGAGACAAAACTTGAAGATGCTATTTTAAATGAGGTCATATTCCCAAGGGGCTACTCAATTTGGAGACGGGACAGAAAAATCAGGTAAGGCGGTGGCGTTGCTGTGCTGGTGAAAGAACACCTAAAGGTAAACGAAATAGTGACTGCCAATCCACAAGAAGTTGACATAATAGCACTAGAGATCTACCATGAGGATGATAAACTAATGATCATAAATGCATATAGTCCACCGCTAAGCAGCACATGGTCAAAGGAGGAGCTAGACAGTAAACGAGAAGGTCTTGTAACAATAATGAGAGAGATCATAGCGAGAGTGGATAACGATAGTTCACGACTGTTGATAGTCGGCGACTTCAACTTGAAATCCATAGACTGGGAAGCATGTGAAG